CACTGCATCACCATGTGCCCATTGCTGTTTGTGGCTGTGGTGCGGTTGCTGTCGAGGAGCATCGAATGGTTCTATCTGGTGGGGGGACACCTGTTGCCGACTGGTTCGTCACTGCAGCTCAGTGATTTACTCAGGTGAGTGAGAGCGAGTGAGTGAGTGACCCGGTCCTAATTTGGGAACATGCAGCTGGCCCTCTTATGGAAAGAAGAATAAGATGGTAGTAGTATTTAAATTAGGTGAGCGGGGCGGGCACAAGTCAACGATGTCGGCATGGGGATGGGGGGTCCCTCCCTCCCTCCCAAGGTGCAACTGCAACGTATGGCAGGCCAGCACGTATGAATAGAAAACTACGATATACGTAGTTCAGGTTCACTGAACGTAGTGAGCGTACGTATGCATGCATGCATGTGTGTTGCGCCACCGACTTGCCCTCTTGGGCTCTTATCTTGGCTGCACTGCATATTAGTTTTACGTATTCTGACCGTGGGGGTACGTACGAGCATCTTCAACGAGCGCCTAAAAAGCTTCGCATTCTAAAAAATCGTTTTTTGGGTGCCGAACAGCTCCAGCAGAAAGATGTAGCACTATAAGTTTTTGGGCGCGCCCTGAAAAACGCTATCGCGCGCAGCATATTTTGGGCTCCGGATTGCGCGCGCTTCATAATTTGCACTGTGTGCTTTTTGGACGCACGTCTTTGGACGTCTGCTAAAGCAATGTTGGTCCCGGCGCACTAAAAGTGCTACAGTGACGCGCTATAACTTCTATTAGGCGCGGAATTTTTGTGCGGCCGTTGGAGATGCTCTAATATGTTTCTAATGAAGTACTAATGTCTAGGAAAAGTCATGAATCAGGTCAGGTACATAACTCGTATAGGTAAGGAGTTGATTAAGAAACACAAATCACCTCTTCACACTGAACCTGTGAGAGTGAACATCAGGGACGCACAGCCAGCCAGCAAATAAATACTCCCTCCGTCCGCAAATGCTTGTCATCAAAATGAATAAAGGGAGATGTATCTAGATTTATTTTAGTTCTAGATACATCTCTTTTTATCCATCTTGATAACAAGTATTTTCGGATGGAGAGAGTACCAAACTGTAAGCAGCGATGCACAGGCGATCGAGGATGAAACAGTGCAGACGACAAGCAGCGCGCCAGATAAGCAAAGAGGTTTGAATCCAGCACTCGAGTTGGGCCTAGGAGCCGTGAGATCGGGTAGTGGACCTGTGGGCCGTGTAATGGACTTGCGGTATATAAGCAAGCGTGTAAGCTGTGTTGAGCGACAAGTTTGAAATGAAAATATTCTAGCCTCCCGCTCTATTCTTATCCTCTCCTACTCTTTAACTCTTTCTTCCTCGTCTCCGATCCCTTGCTCCTCCACCTGCTGCTCCGGCTCGCCGCCGTCGAATACTGGCCGACCCTAGGTCGTGACAGTCTGGTATCAGAGCCGTCGCTCCTCTCCGCTGTGAATCGCCCGAGAAAAAAATTTCACCGACTCGTGCCCGGCAAATCCGAGGCGAAGGTTGCGGATCACCCCAGGGTTTGATCTGCGTAATCCCCGACCTGAGGTCGGCTGTTTCGGGGGAGATCGACCACGACGACATTCAAGCCAAATCCGCAATCGCGCTTCATCGCGGACGAGATGGGAGCGCTTCAGGAAAGGATGCTGAAGGAGTTTGCGGAGATTCGCGCTGCACAGGGCAAATTGGCCGCCGTCGACGGACTCAGCGCGCAGCTAGCGGCTCTCGACGCCAAGCTGACCGAGCAGTCCGCGCGTCTCGACTAGGTACAAGTCAAGGTCGATCTCTCCTGTAACACACTCAGACACGTGCGAAGCATTTTTCAGGCTATACCACATCCCAGACAGCTTCAAGGTCACATCCGCATCTCTGTACTTGTCAGATAATGCAACTCGTTGGTACCAAGCTTTCAAGCAGTCGGGTGAATTTCACACTTGGGGGCAGTTCTGTCAGGCAATACTGCTGGAATTCGATGTGGATGTGTACAGACAAAAGATGAAGGAGCTGATGCTGTTGAAACAAGTGGACACTGTCGAAGAGTACAAATAGAAGTTTCTACAGCTAGTTTACACAGTCAGGTTGTATGAGCCGACAATCAACGACACTTTTCTGGTTACTCACTTTGTGATGGGTCTCAAGGAGGAGCTCAGGGCAGCTGTGGAGTTTCAGATACCGGCTACGATTCAAGTGGTAGCGTTGTATGCTTCAGTGCAGGAGGGATTGCTACTTCGGTCAAAAAGTAACAAACCCAACTATACCAGAACGTCGTACAACAAGCCTGACACACGCTCTGGACTGGCAACTAGGGAATTGTGGAAAGCAAAGCAGTTAAAAGAGTATCACCATGCAAATGGCCTGTGCTACAAATGTGGTGATAAATTTGTGCCAGGACACACATGCAATCAGACAGAGACAAGGGGAGCACAGTTGAAGGCAGCAGAGCTAATTGACCCACATGAAATTATTTCTGATGCAGTGCTAGATGCTCTGGTTAGAGCAGATACAGAGGAATGTGCAATGATTTCAGCTACAGCACTGTCTGGTGCTGCCCACCCCAAAACAATTCAGCTTAGGGCACTGGTGGGCAACAAAGTGGTGTTGATTCTAGTGGACTCTGGCAGCACCCATACATTTGTGGACCAGACTCTGTTGGACAAGATTACTGTTACAGCAGAGAAGCTAGAACGTCCAAGACTAGTAAAAGTGGTTAATGGAGAGATCATCACCTGCACTGAAGTTGTGCCCCAGTTAACTTGGTGGATACAAGGCCACAGTTTCTGTAATTCCATGCAGCTATTACCATTAGGAGGCCATGACATTATATTAGGGACGGACTGGTTAGAACAGTGGGCCTGAAATGCCACTGGGCTGACAAATGGATTCAGTTCATGTATGAAGGACAGGAGGTCAAATTACAAGGGGTATTGCCCAAGAAACAAGACCAGATGAAGGAAATGAAGTGTGGGCTACAACACTATTGAATCGCGTAGTTATGGCACCTGTCACTGACATACCTCCTGTGGTACAACAAGTAATAGACAGAAACAAAGAGGTATTCCAGGAACCAAAGTCTCTCCCTCCTCACAGAGCCTTTGATCATACAATCAATCTGCTGCCAGATACAATACCTGTCAATTGCAGACCATAAAGATATTCCCCACAGTAGAAGGATGAAATAGAAAAGCAAGTCAAAGAGATGCTGGCTGCTGGACTAATAACACCAAGTATGAGTCCTTTTGCTGCTCCTGTGTTACTTTTCAAGAAGAAAGATGGCACATGGAGGTTTTGTGTAGATTACAGGAAGCTGAATGAGGTGACTATCAAAAAAAAGTTTCCTATGTCTGTCATTGATGAGATCTTGGATGGAGTAGGGGGAAGTAAACAGTTTTCTAAATTGGACCTCAAAGCTGGTTACCATTAAATAAGAATGAAGGAAGAGGATGAGTACAAAACAACTTTCAAGGCACAACATGGACAATTTCAGTTCAGGCTGGTCCCCTTTGGGTTAGCAACTACCCCAGGAACATTTCAGTGTGTAATGAACTTAATGTTTGCAGGGCCAAACAAGAAGTATGTGCTGGTGTTTATGGATGATATCCTGATATTCAGTCTCACACTAGAAGATCATTTGGAACATCTCAAGTCTGTATTTGACATTCTCAAGAAAAACCAGTTGTTTGTAAAAGAGTCTAAGTGTGTGTTTGCTCAACAATCCTTGGAATATTTGGGACACGTCATATCTGACAAAGGAGTTGCCACTGACCCCTCCAAGACTGAAGCAATGGTGCAGTGGCCTACACCCACCAATGTCACTGAATTAAGGGGTTTCCTAGGGCTGACTGGATATTACAGGAATTTTGTGAGAAACTATGGCTTGCTGGCTAAGCCTCTCACTGCTCTTCTCAAAAAACAAGCATTTGCTTGGTCCATAGCAGCTCAACAGGCTTTCCAACAGCTAAAAGAGGCGATGGTCAACACTCCAGTTTTGGCATTGCCAAACGTTGAACTTGTACTATGGAAACAGATGCCTGCAACACTGGAGTGGGTGTTGTTTTATCTCAGGAAGGACACTGTGACGCCCCCGATTTAATCGTACACTAATCATGCACGCAAATGTGTACGATCAAGATCAGGGACTCACGGGAAGATATCACAACACAACTCTAAAACATAAATAAGTAATACAAGCATCATAATACAAGCCAGGGGCCTCGAGGGCTCGAATACAAGTGCTCAATCATAGACGAGTCAGCGGAAGCAACAATATCTGAGTACAGACATAAGTTAAACAAGTTTGCCTTAAGAAGGCTAGCACAAACTGGGATACAGATCGAAAGAGGCGCAGGCCTCCTGCCTGGGATCCTCCTAAACTACTCCTGGTCGTCGTCAGCGGGCTGCACGTAGTAGTAGGCACCTCCAGCGTAGTAGGAGTCGTCGTCGAAGGTGGCGTCTGGCTCCTGGACTCCAGCATCTGGTTGCGACAACCAGAAAGAAAGGAAAGGGGGAAAGGGGGGAAGAAAGCAACCGTGAGTACTCATCCAAAGTACTCGCAAGCAAGTAACTACACTACATATGCATGGGTATATGTGTAA